TAGAGTGCTTGCCTCACATGCACAAGGCCCTGGGTTCAATTCCCAGCACCACACACAAAATACACACACACACACACACACACACACACACACACACACAATGTTGATGACACTGGAGAAGTGATTCTGAGAAGTGATGCTGAATTTTAGGTAATTTGAAAATTATCTGATGACTATACAACCTAATATAACTAATCAGTGGTTTATATAAATTCATGCTGTTTGGTTGTCATTATTTTTGCACATTTTCAATTAGTGACTAGATATTACTCAGAAAAGTATATTGATAATAAATTGTAATATATGTACTAAACTTATGCCCAAGAAAGGTTCCCTTAGGCTCTTTGCAGTATTTTGCTAATACACATCCATTTTAAATGTTTTATTGGTGCCATGGTATCATTTATCTTTGTTATAACTACAGCAGTGTCTTCTCTTGCATAATTCTCCTTTTGCTATCATGTTTTACATTAGGGTTTTATTTGCCCTCAAGCTTCCTGTCCTCCCCATAGCAGTCAGAAAAGCTGGCTTCAGAAACCAGCATACCTAACTACCCTGGCAGAAGACAAGTATTTTGCAATGTATTAAAAGCCAAGTAATCTCTAAAGCTTAGTTTTTATTTTTCAAAAGAAGATTATCAGCAGTATATTAGTAAAACTGTTTCTATTCTGCATGTTACTTTATCAAAGTCTATGTGATGACTATTATTCTTAAGGAAAATAAATATTCCTTAAATTCTAATGTAACCCAAATTGAAGGGTAGTTTTTAAATGTTGAAACTTTTTTTTAATATATATTTTTAGTTGTCAATGAACCTTTATTTTATGTGTGGTACTGAGAATTGAACCCAGTGCCTCACACATGTAGTCAAGTGCTCTACCACTGAGCCACAACCCTAGCCCGTAAATGTTGAAATTTTTTGAGGATGAAAGTAGAAAGTAAATGAGGGCTTTCTAGGATCCTCTCATCTTCTTTGTCCTCAAACTTTGAGCTATCATAGGTTCTCCTCCATACAGGAGAATGATCATCCTAAATTTAGGTCAAGTTCAATGATGCTATTTGTTCTGTCATGGAGACTAGAAATTTGGATTCAGAATTGCCTCTGAGATATCTGAAACTGACATCAACTACCTTATATATATAAACGGAAAACTGTAAAAATTAAAAATATTTTTAAAAAATGAAAAATTAAATTATGGTGAATTTTTTTCAGGATTTTTCAGTCTGCTATTCTTTTCATTTGGGTAATTCTTTTTCTTGTTCAATAGTGAGATAATTTGCTATATTTTAAAATTAATACATTGTTTCATTCCTTTTCCCTCTGCACAAGGAGGGTTGTTCTAGTTCTGTCACATGCATTGGTTTTACCCCCCAGAAAAATGCACAAGGGCACTGAGTGGGGCAACACTTCTCATCTTCCTTTGATAGCTACCTGCTGTTTCATTATTTTTTCAATCCTTGCCTACACCTCCTTCCCCAAATTCAGAATCCAGCATTCTTCTGAAATTCTTTTCTTCCCTACTTCAAAACAGCTATTTATGTACTAATACAATATTTGAATAATACAAGCTCAGTCTTGACTACTTCCTCCAGGCAGATTTTTCAAACCAGGAAATTATCAACATTCTTTTTAACTAGTAGCATTCTTGAGTAAGATACAAGATGTTTAAAGGTGTTTTTAAAAGCTGCACAGTGTATGAAGATAGCAAGACATTTTAACGACTAAAATGGGTATTGACTTGGTCCTCTCCTACCCTGTTCATCTAGTTATTATTGTAGATTTTCACAAATTTGTTTTATTTACTCCATTAACTGGCCTAAATCTTATGTGGTCTTCCTGGAAGATATTTGAAGTTCAGGAAAAAAGAAGGATGAGTAACCCATGTTTGGCTATCTTTTGCCCCCTGTTAATACTGAACCCCCTTGCAAAGCCCTCTTTCAATCACACTTACTTTGGGGAGCCTACAAGGGTTGTGACATGTGTTTATAACCAAATCCAGTCGTTTACTAGTGGACATAGACCATTTTCTTCTTACCTGCCTCATCCACTCTGTGCTAGATCTGTTCCTTCAACTGATTATTACTGCAGTTTCTCCAGGTGGCATGGATCATTCCTTGGCTGTCATATCTACTTTTCCTGGGCACAGATTCGGTTTTGTCTGGATAATACCACTCTCAATGAGCACACAAATACAACAGGCTACTGTCCTGCTTCCTTTCTGCTAGGCACCAACTCCTACAACACTTCTCTACCCTTATATCATGTTTTTGTGGAGTCACAAAGAGGTCTTTTATAAAATACAAGGAGGGTGTCTCTCCCCTCCTTTTGGGAAACTATAGCAATATTGTTTGTATACTAGAGCATTTGGAGAAATAGCTTACGCATTTTTTTTTTTTAGTTCTCCTACTCCTGTAAGAAATGGATGTGAATGAATCCCTGGGTGCTAAGCTGGAAGACAAGTCCACATTATGGACTCTACATTGTACATTTTCAGAATTTCCTGTGTCCAGTGGAAAGGATGAATGGTGTTGCTCTTGGCATCTGATGCTCTCCCTAGAGCTCATTTTTCCCGTTGTCCCCCAAAACATCATAATTTCTGAGTAGCTCAGGGCTTTCAAACTTACTAAAGATATGGGCAGTAGATGTATTATTTTTTCAAACTAAAGGCATTTCTACCTCTTAGAAATAGCCAGTATATATAATAAAGAAATGAATTTCAGTCTCCGTTTCTGTTATCAGGATAAAGTTTTGACAAATTTTTTATTATTGAATTGACTTATACTTAAAAATAGAATGTCAAGTTGTCCTTTTTTAATGTGTAACTAAAGGTATAGCCCTTGAGTATTTTGTTTACCTAATAAAAATCTTTTTATGTAACAACAGCTGAACTTTAACCTTGTCTTTGCCCAAATTGCCACAAACTGTAATTATTTGTATCTGAATAAATTCTAAATTGAGGAATGTGACTTATTTTCTAGTAAAGTCTGAGAATTGGTGATATTTGGTGCTCAATATCAGAGGAAATATGTACCAGTTTCACCATATCCTTTCTTCTTTATTCACAATGACGTGCTAATTCATTTGCATGATTTAATTCAAATATCTTCTCTTGTATAGAAACATCTCCACATATGGATGTTTTCCCTTCATTAACCACCTGTTGTACTTAGTACTTATTCATTCATCTATATATTGTGACAGCTAGCATTTTGTTACAGCAGAGTAGGAGATTGGGGGTCCTTTGTTTGATCAAATTTTTAAAGGCATTTTAATGTAGGAGAGTGGATTTAGATCAACCTCAAATTTACTATTATTAGGATAGCCTGTTTTCTTCTTACCCTTTCCAACTTCATCTTTTGTTCACTTTTCACCATGCACCTAGATCTACCATCATCTGTGGTACATGCCATCCTTTCACTTACACTGTCATCTGTGCTCCCTCCCACTCCTCTGTACGCCAGTACAGCAGAGCACTAGAGTTGCCACACAGCCTCATACAGGGTGCTAGTTGCATAGATTCAAAACCTGCCTCCACCTCCTGCTGGCTATATGATCTTTCTGTGCTTCAATTTCCATATTATAGAAATAATGATGGTACTACCTCAAAGAGTAGCTATGAGGGTTAAATGAGTTAATACATATAAAATGTTTAGAACAAATTTTTAGAATTATCTGTCTTTGTTAACCTCATTGTTGTCATCATTAACTGATAAATTCCTTCTTTAAAGAACCACTAACATTTTAAAACTTCTCTGTAGCTTTCTTACAATCCTGCTGTTTAGGCATGATTGGGTCCTTCTTTTATGCTGCTACATTTTTCACTTTGCCTTTTCAGTTCTTAGCATGCTGCGTCTTCTTAGTTGAATACATCTGTTTCTTGATAATTTTAAGTGCAGTGAGGTTCTGTAAAGGTGAAGGAAGACCAAGGAAGTTTGTACTATGTCTAAAATTGTTTTAGATTAGCATCTATATGAATAGTATGGGAAATATTTTTAGTTACTCCTAATGTTAAAGAAGCTGAGGTGTTTTCTTCCATTAAAAGATATGTTAAAATATTTTTCAAGTGTCTTTTGTTATCTGGAAATTTGCTGGAAGAACATTTATTTTATGATTTCTGTACAGAATGTTCATAGTTTAAATACTGTCTATAGTTTAATATATAACATAGGATGCATATAGTACCATATGAATTTCCAAGCAAACATTTGAAACTTTTAAAAAAAAATTGTAAAATGTTGACTCTCCCCACCCCGCATTTAGACTGACCTTCTCCCAGTCAGTCCAAATTGATATGGTTCTACTTGATTAAAAAACAAAAAAAAAGTATTCATAGTGTCTGTCACTAGCTCCTGCTATTAAAAGGTATGAAATATAGGATGTACATTTTCATGATCTGGTTTTTGTTTTAAATGCAGTTAGAATAGACTGGATCCATCATGCCATGCAGATTAGCAAACTAATACAAATGCTAATGTGGTTTCACACAGTTTACTTTTAAGTAATTGTGTTTCATATAATGGTAACTATATACCATTTACCTTGTAAATTCCACTTTAATTAGCCTGTTTGTGTGTGGTAAATCTTAAATATTTGCTTTACATATTAAAAATGTACCACAAAATGTGCTTGTACTTAATAACTACCTAACAGATTTTTCTTTTCCTTAAAATTGTAACTTAAAAAATGTCCAAATATTAAATAATTCCAAATATACTCAGTCTTAACCAAACATATGCTATTGAAAACCTAAATACATATATATTTTTCTTGTCATGTTTCTCAATGTGATGACTTATCCAGGGGGAAAAAAGTATATTTTTCCTTTGTCTACAGTTTATTTCTGAATGGTTAACCAAATATATTTATTCTAATGCACCATATCTCAAATACCACTACTTGCAATTGATTTTTTTTTTTTTTACTATTTCTCAGGGATTTTGGTTTTATTGGCAAGAAAAGATAATTAATTGGCATCTCTTTTTAATTATTTTTAAAACAGGACAAAGATTCCTTCTGCCATCAGATGTCTTTCTGCTTGACTGAACTGCACCTGTGGTCTTTGAAGAATACCTTACACATTGGGGGTAAATGATCTCTGAATCAATTTCAGTATTTTTCAAGTGTGTTGCACCATTATAAATAAGCATAGTAAGGGTTAAAGCCTGGACTCTCCAGCTGGGGTTGCATTCTTTTCTTTATCCTTAATGAAAAATTGGGTAATAAAAATTAATTCCTTTTAATTGCTTTTATTAACTTATTTTTTCAGTTGAATTCATTTTTCAGTTTTGAAAATAAATTTTATTGTCTTAGTATTTGTTTCCTCTTAAGACAAGCTCACTTTTCCGCCTGTGTTTCTTCCTAATAACTGCTTTATTTATATATTTATGTCTTTATTTATTTTTATGTGGTGCTGAGGATCGAACCCAGGGCCTTGCACATGCTGGGCAAGCGCTCTACCGCTGAGCGACATACAACCCCAATCCATAATAACTGATTTATAATCATAAATATTTGCAGGCTAGCTAATGGTAAAGATATTTCTATTTGATATTAAAGTGACATTTAAAATATCTAGATGTGCAATTATTTTTATATTCTTTGCATTTCAGATTTCTTGAGAGGGAGTAATATAATTGTTTTAATAATGCTTAGTATTATAGAAATATATCCTATAATACATCTTTTTTAAAAATTTAAATTTAATTTTTTTAGATGTTGATGGCCCTTCCTTCCTTCCTTCCTTCCTTCCTTTTTTTCTTTCTTTCCAGTGCTGAGAATTGAGCCCAGTGCCTCACTAGGCAAGCACTCTACCACTGAGCCATACCCTACCCCCTAGAAAATATCTTTTTAAAAAATCCTTTCTTAATGTATTATCCAACACAACTTTTGTATTTAGGACATTTTTACTTATACACCTTTTATATCATTACTAAGAAAATGGTTTACCTTGCAAAGTATTGTTTGTTAATATTTTCAGTATGTTTATCCTCCTTAAAATGTGTGAGGTTAGAACTTCCAGGTAAACAAAAATTTAACAAAAATTTTCTTTCTTCTAACATGAGAGTAAATAAATTAAAATAAAGGAGATATAAACCCATTAGGATTAAGAGAATAAGAAAGGGGCCAACTGCATTTGGATAATTTTTGAAAGATGGATGGAATGGGAGTTAGCAGAGTTGAAAAATCTGAATATCAATTGCCTACTGAGGAAAATTCCACTGACAATTTATTTGTGTCTCAGAACTCTTGAAAGTACAGAAATTTGAGTAGCAGATGATGGTGATGTGTCATGAGGGTGGCAACAAAGCGACATGAGCTTCAGTGTAAGAAGCAGGTAGACATCTCTCATACTGTGGAAGTATTTAATTGAGGAGGCTATAAAGTTGGGGACATCAGAGTCAGTGGAAGCAGAACTATTAAACTAAAAACAGGGATAAAATGGAAACCTACATGCTGATGGGTGAGGTCGTCCTCTTAATCCTCCTTGGTTTTTAGAATGTCACCCAGTTATACATTTTGCAAGAAAGAAGGAGCTTTAGAAATTTCTCTTCAGCTTGACTGCATCACCCTGGAGAGAAAAATCTATCTACTCTGATATTTGAGGGGGTCTCCCATTGAAATACCCTGGTCCCTGGCTAATCAGTGAAGCTCCCACCATACCCCTTTGGCAAGCCCTGCTTATGTCTAGTTAGTTTTCTAGTGCCTCAATTGGAAATATTAACAGAGAGCTAAGAATCACCAGATATTTGAGGAATGATTTAACAGGAAACAAAAGAAAACACAAAGATGAAAGGATGTTTTAAGAAACAAAGATAATGTAGGAAGAGAAAAGAAAGTACAACAAAGACCTAATGAAAGATTGAATCCATGAAGCAAGAAACAAATATAGAAGCTTCAGAAAACATTGAAAGTTATACTAATTTCTTAGAGATTAAAAATGAACATCAGAATGAAATTAACCAAGCTGTTATGCGCATGTATGAACATATCACAGTGAATTCCATTTTTATATATAACTATAATGAACCAATTAAATTTTTTTAAAAAATGAAAAGATGTATATAACAACAACAAATAAATAAAGCATAGCAGGAAAAAATTTAAAGTTCAAAAACATAATAGAGGCTGGGCATGGTGGTGCATGCCTGTAATCTCAGTGGCTCCAGAGGCTAAGACAGGAGGATTGTGAGTTGAAAGTCAGCCTCAGCAACAGTGAGGCTCTAAGCAACTCAGTGAGACCCTGACTCTAAATAAAATACAAAATAGGCAGGGATGTGGCTCAGTGGCCAATTTCTCCTGAGTTCAACCCCTGACACCCCTCACCCCCCCAAAAAAAATTAAAGAAGTTATATCAAAAAATAAAACACATACACATACAAACGACAACAACAACAACAAAAACCACAAAGAGAGCTTACTTCAATGCTGGTCAGAATCTTTAATTAAAGAATTTTTTTCTCTGATCATAATTGCTTATTTTTTTCATCTTTCTCATTTCCTTACCCTTATATATCTAGGTTTTATGCTTCTTTGAGACTATTTATCTTTTAATCTCTTGAATTCTCCTAGTCCAACAGGCCTTCCTTTACTTATCCTACCCATCTTGGACCCCATATTTGGAAATCTGATCTATTCCATCTTGATTCCTTCAGGTCTTCTCTTTCTTGTCCCACAGACTTCTTCCCTGCCATTTCTACTCCGAGGCAGTGAATGTGTAGTGGCCTTATGGGGGAAATAGTGGTCTTCAGCCCCACCTGGATCTTTGTTTGAAGGGGTGCTTTACCACTGAGCTATGTCTCCAGCCTTTTTTATTTTTATGTTAAGACAGGGGTCTTGCCAAGTTGTTGAGGCTGGCCTTGAATCTGCCTTAGACTCCTGAGTCACTGGGATTACAGGCATGAACCACTATGCCCAGCTCCACCTGGTTCCTTAGCAGGGCCTATCTATTCTTTCTGTAAGAACATTCTTTTCTTTGAACCCATGAAAAATCCTACTGCTTCTTTAGGGTTCAGCTTTCATATGTTACTTAGAAGCATTTTCTGCCATCTAAACTAAGAAGCCCTGTTAACATGCTCTCATTAGGCTAGACATTTGAAGAATTTAAAATTGTTTTTGAGCTGAGCATGGCGGTGCATGCCTGTAATCCCAATGATTTGGTAGGCTAAGGCAGGGGGATTGGATGTTTAAGCCCAGTTCAGCAACTTATTGAGATCTTGTCTTAAAAGTAAAATAAAAAGGACTGGGGATGTAGTTTAGAGGTAGAGCACCCTTGGGTTCAATCTCTAATATTACCAAAAAAAGAAAAAGAAATAATCACAAACTTAAAAATTGTCAGTACAGAGAATCTTTTCCCTAGAACCATTTGAGATAAAGTTGCAGACCTGATATTAGGCTGTCTGCTAGGCTTCTCTACCGCAATGTTACTTTCTCCTTTGTAATTAATAATTATTTTTTAAGGAGGTATCTTAAAATTACATAAGTATCATGTTCCTCATCAAACTTTAAATATATTTAATTTCTATTTATCTCTAGGGACTCAAGTTTCCTATTTTATTTGGTGGTTACAATCCATCACTGTCATTATTTATTATGTTGTTTAAATTGTCTCTCGTGTGCTTAGAGGGACCATTTTCAAGACGGCTTCTGTTGTCTTTTTGACACAACCCTGTCAATATGATGGCACTTTCATTTCAGGCTTATATTGTACTTTCCTTTGCTTAGTTTTGGAATCAGTTACTTCTTTAAGAAGCTTGGTTCCTTTTAAAGAAGAAGGGTATTAGCAGCCAAGGGATACTTAGGTACCCTCATTGCTTTTGAATTGTTGCTCCCATATCCTCCAGTGGGCAGAGCTTAGGAAACAGTGTATGTATGTATGTATCCATGTTTACATCTACATTCATTTCTCTATTTATCTCTATATATTGAAAGCCATGAGTTTGCATTGGTATCTCAAATTATTATTAAAAATTTCATTTTAATTTTTTAAGTTTTCATATTTATTCTTTTCAGACAGAAACCTGGAGCTCCCATTTCTTTGATTTATTAATCAATCACCCTATATACAGTCAATCTCCTATTTCTGTGGCCACTTCCTCCCCTGCAGTTATCCTTTGATCCCATGTGGGTTTTGACCCACCATACTGGGCTGCCCATATATTAATCTAACTAACTTCTTCAGCTTCTGATACACCACCCAACATCATTGCCCCATGTAAATGTCCTTCATACTCTACAAGGGTTCTGATACACTATGTTAGGCTGACTATTGCATGGACACCTTCTTCATTCCACCAGGGGTATTCTAGCACCTCTGGTGGTAAAGTTCTCATTATGAGGATGCCTCCTTGTCTTGCTTACCCTTTGACAATCCCACTCTGGCCAGATGTGGTAGGTCAGACTTATGCACAGAATTCAGGTTTCCTTATTTTATTTATAGCTCTAGTGTAGAGGTGTAGTAGATATTTAAATGTATAGAATGATGGAACGATTGATTATAAGTTGGTATATTTTAATAGAGGATATTGGCTACATATATAGTATCCATAGTTCTTACCTTTAAACAACAACAACAGACTTTCATTGAAGTATAGCATCCGTACTTAAAAGTGTACATATCATAAGCATATGTTGTGAACTGTCAAAAAGCAAGTGCACTGATAAAATCACCACTGTCAGGTGAAAGTATAAAAATTTTATCAGTATTCAAAAAGCCCAGCTTATGACTTCTCCCAATCAATCCTCAGCACGTATTTCCAATCTAACTATATTCTTTAAAACTGTATTCTTAAATAATGGCATGAGTAAAATAGAGCTTCAATAAATATACATGATTGACTCTTTTGAAAAACTGTATTTGAAGAGTTAATTATAGCAGTAATACTTTTATCATTCAGTTCAGGAAAGTTGGGAGCAGTCAGTCACTAGGGGGCAGCCTGTACTGCTTCCACTTCTTCAGAGACAGTTGTATCCTCCTTATGGTAGTAACTGAGAATTATTTCACATGGAAGAAAACAAATGTTACTTCAATGAAAGAAATATTTCATTATTCATAGATATGGTGAAAATGGACAAAATTATTCTGTACTCCTGTATTTAAATTGCAAGAACAGATTACTTGGTTAAATCAATGTCAACATCTGGGAAGCCTAGCTTTGCTTCTTACCTAACCACAGCAGAGTATCTGAATTTGAATGAGTTTGGAAGCTTTCTGAATCTAAACAAGTTTCAGATAATAATTTATCCATACCTCCCTGTAATCCTCCCTTTCTTTCCTGCAGATTTCTTCCCAAATGCTGTAGATGGAAACTAGACTCTTGAGCTAAATTGGAGAAAAGCAAGCCACAGCTCGGAATCCAACAGCTAGGGCATTTTCTTCCATCCACTGATTTCATTTGGCATTGCTTAGTGGCAGTTCCTTTTGGTAGCGCCCTGTGAAAAATATCAGAGGAAGTGTGAAAGAGAAAACTTGGTCTTCCTTGATTTCACTTCTTTACTAATCTTTTCCTCATGCCATTCTAGTTTTGTGTAAATTTTTTCTTATTAGATTGATAAACTTTCCAGTTTCTGCATATCCCTAGAATAGATGAACCCATGTCCAGATGCTTTTGAGCTATTTTATTTCTAGTAACATAAGGAGACTGTTTCTGCTTCCCCACCCTTCCCTCCAGCATAGTATGGTTTGGCTTCTTATTCTCCAGAACTTTTTACCATAATTTACTGTTACTTCTTCCTTTCTATAGATAGAGATATTGGAGTCTACCAGTATTATGACAAGAAAGATCTGCCAGGTAAAGTACCTATTCTACTCAGCTAATTTTTATAAACTAAAAATTCAAAGCAATGAAATACTGACCATTAAAAACTGTTTTTGTGAGCTTTAGATAAATTCTAGAATTTTAAGAAAAGTCACTTCAGTTCTTTTGGAAAATGCTGTGGTTGATATCTCTCTGGCCTATATACTATAAAGCTATATTGAGAAAATGTTATAGAAGAACCTGAAAATTTTCATTTTACTGCTGATCAGGCTGATAACAGGACAGTCTATTCACATTTAGTTATTGGTGTCCCAGTAGAGGGCATTGTTAAAGCATGGGTCCCACTGATGCTGGCCTCCCGGATCCTCACCTGATATCTGAAATAGGCATTTCTGAGTGAATGATCAATTTTCTTTATCTGATTAATCCTGTTAATCCCAGAAGTTTTATGTTGAGCCAAAAGGTCTCCCTGCTAGAGTTACTTCCTGTTCTGTTCTCCGTTGAAGTAGGGCTTGTGTGAGCATCCTGTGTGCTTACCATGGTGGTTAATAGGCTGACTTCATGGTTCTGATGACAGACTGTTGCAGCTTCTCTTCTGGGCTCTGTTGCAGTTCCTTTCCCTATCTGATGAGATTGGAAACTCAGGATATTGGCCCACCTGTTGTGCTACGTAAGCCTTTTCACTGCAAATTTAGGAAATATCACTATGGATGAAAACATTCAAATTGTAGCATTTTCCTCAACTATCTTTTTTTTTAAGTTTAGCACAATTTATTAATCTTATAATACATGTAATAATCCATTATATATGTACATATTAAAATACTATATATTATAATAAAAATAAATTCCATGTCTTTTCTTCTTTTTATCTTTCCTCTGCCTTGAATATCAGCGACAGAGCATGGTAACTTAGAAGAAAAGCAGAAACTGGCAGAGTGTAAGCTTACTTTATATATTTTTGGAATTATAAAACTGGATAATTCAGTATTACAAAGTATTCTGCTTTCTGCACAAATCGGAAATGTTATTCTGTCCAAATTTCTTATAAGTTTTCATTGCTTAGATACATAAAATTATGAGTAAGAATTATATTTGTTAGGCTTTTCTAATTTAGATCATTGAAATCCAATTTTATAAACATAAATTTTCTTAATGAATTATATTTAAATTAATATATTTAAAATATGTGTACCATACTTAAATTCTGATAACATTTAATTATTCATAGTTTGCATAAATTGTTAACATTCTTTAGCCATTTTAAGAATGTAAGATTTATAACATCAGTATTAGCATTTCATTTAGTCTTTGCTGGTTTAATATGTAAATATGTTGTATATATATATGTATATGAATAAATATATATACACATACATAATATAACTACAGTATGATATGGTTTTTATAAGTTAAATTAAATATAATTTAAGATCTTATTTGGATATAGTTAGAACTGAAAATTTCACTTATTCTTTTGTTTTAAATGGTTGAACTGACATTCAGTTTTAAAATACTGTATTAGTACCTGAAACACAGATTTAAAACTTTGAACATATGCTTTACACATCAAAATTGTGTTTATAGAGCCAAATTAATTTGCTGAAATAAAATACATAGCAATTCTACTCTCTGCTTTCAATATCTATGTACTCTATGTGTTGAGAAAATGTTATAGAAGAACCTGAAAAATGTATACACAACACAATATACACATATGTACACTCATGTATACAATTCTTAGAATTATTAATTAGGAGAATCCAAAACTGAATTCATTTTTTAATGAAATATATATAATTAGTTTAACATTTTATTTTATTATGGTACTGGGGATTGAACCCAGGGCCTGGCACATGCTAGGCAAGCACTTTAGCACTGAGCTACACCCACATTCCAATTTTATATTTTTAAACAGAACTAGTTTTAATTTGTCTTTGGTTAATATTGTGACTCTACAAATAATCTAATCTTTCAGTTACATTTATTTGAAACAAACAGAGGCATATCATTATTGAATTGCTGTGTAGATTTTCAAAAAGATTATTTTAAAAAGTATTATTTAGTGTCAAATTTGTTTAAATTTGAATTCCTCTCATTTAAATTCATTCATCTGTCATTTTGAAATTTTATTTATTTTCTTCCTGCATTTATTTACTCATAATAGTTTTCAGATCTGAGTAGGCCACCTGAACGATTTGGAATTTCTTTCAGATATTTACTTATTTACATGAAAAGGTTACTTCAGTGGTAAATAGTGGGTCATTTACTATTAAATACTACTAGATTCACAGACCTAGCAAACTTTCCCAGGGATTCTCTTAAGTCTTGTTGGTTGTCATCATAAAATTATCATCAGGGAGATTGCTTTGTGGTAAAAATCCTGTTCCTATGACAAAGCCCTTTAAAAGGCTGTCATTTGATGATAGAAATGAAGGCCACTTCCTCTCAATTATGGAGGTGTTTTATTTTAATCTTCCTAAAGCACACTGCTAAGCAGAGTTTTCTTTTTAAAATCATGTTTAACTAACTGTAGTATGTTTTATTTGCCAGCACGAGATTATCCTTGGACGCTCAAAAATAGACGCCCAGAAAAACTTCGAGATTCGCTCAAAGAGTTAGAGGTATCTTTCACAAAGTTTCAAAAATGGCAATAAACAAATCTGTTTTAAAACATCTTTCAACAGCTTTAATTTTCATAAAGGATCAACTCTCATGGTGATGATAGCTTTGCTTTTGTCCGGTGAGAAGTTCCAAAACAGTTGCATCTTTGTGTGGCATGTTGACTTTTTTTTTTTGGGGCGGGGGCTGAAAATCAGAAGCACTTTAACTGATAATGACAATGTGTATGGCCAACTGCACTCTCTCTTTTTCTGTTGTTCTTCAGGAACTGATGCAAAACAGTCAGTGTGTGCTGAGCAAATGGAAGAACAAATCTGTCTGTCAGGTAAGATAGTTTGACAAGTTTTTGCAATGTGTCACCAGTGGAGCTGAAAACTATGTAGTAATTGGTATTCTTGTGTTATGATAGGTATTGGACAAAAACTTTTTAGGAGTTAATATTTCATTGTTTGAATTCTAGTTAGACAGATTGACACAGGTCACTAGCTACTTCATTAATCAGTGTAGTTTGACTGACATACTATTACACACTAATAAAAATTTTTTCAGATAGTATTTTTGTTTAAGTTTTTCTGAATACTGTATTAGATATTTACTAGCATTTAATATTATATATATATATATATATATATATATATATATATATATATATATATATTTATTAGTTGTAGTTGGACATAATACCTTTATTTGTTTGTGTGTGGTGCTGAGGATTGAACCCAGGGCTTTGCGCTTGCTGGGCGAGCGCACTACCACTGAACCACAACACCAGCCCTAATTATATTTTTTAATGAAGAAGAGACCAGGGGATAAAAGCTTTTTTTTTTTTTTTCAGTATTACACTCTAAGCATTTGTGAATATTATGCTTATGGAAATCAGTAAGCAAATTAGAGTGAGTCATAATATAACAACATATTCAGTCTTAGTTTTTGAATCCTCTAACTTGCACTGTTTAATATGGTAAGCCATATTCTACTTATTATTACTTATCTACTTATTGTACTCTACCCTTATTCTACTATTTGAATAATTAAGAAAAATTTAAATTTAGTTCCTCAGTTGCACAACCAACATTTTAAGTGCTCAGTAGCCACATGTTATCATATTAGACAATGCAGACATATAGAACATTTCACCACAGAAAGTTCTATTGCACAGCCCTGTTAGGTCCTATAGAAGATGTGTCAGTGGGCTTAGATTTAGAGCATAATCAGGACATATCAGTGTACATTGATCCCAAAATAATGAACAGATACCTTAGCTATGCTGAAAGGCTTTAAAAAATACCATTTGGATAAAAAATTTTACTTGCTTGTGATAAAAAAGAATAATTATCAATCATCCATAAATTGAAGTTGCATCATTACTACTAATAATTTTAATTTATTTATGGGATCAAATATCCTGTGTTAATTTAAATTTTTATCTACAGTATAATTTATTTCATGTGTAAACATTCTTGTTTGCAGTTTAGGTCCATGTTGTTTCTATCCATAAATCTACAAAACATCAAATTTATAGTAATTATAAAACATATCTTAATCTGCCTTTAAAGAGACCATTGTTTTAGTGGATTTTATTTTTTTAGACACTTTTTTGTCTAAACCAGTCTACCTTTAGTCATGGAGGTATATAACTATTTGTTATCTCCTCAATGACATATATTTCCAGAAAATATTTACAAGGCTGAATTAATATTTTTAGAAACATAATACTTCTTAAATTCTTTTCAGAATACTATTCAAAAAGATGGGATTGTCTTAAAATCACAAGTTTTGCATAAAAATGTTTTAATCAGACTTTAGATCTTGAATACAAAATGTACTCCAGAAAGTTTCAGACTTAGTACAATTCAAAAATACAGTTCTTTATGCCATTACTCACTTTAAAAACAGGCTCAGAATTATTTGACTGGAGGGCAAGCCTGCCACCTATAGTAAGGGGTGTGTCTCATGGTCTCCACCCTTACCACTACACAGGTAAGTTGGAACATGTCAGGCATCTTAAAATATGCAGTGGAATATCCCAATAGACAATCCTTTTAAACAGACATCATTGCCTTTCAATTTAATAGCAAGTTTATGTGTAGGTGGTATGTTAGAGAAGGATATACCTCAATATTAAATTTATTCAACTCAAGAATCTTCATGATAGAGTATATAGCACAATTATTTTTTTCATTTAAAGCAGTTTGAAATACTGGTTATGCTTTTAACATTTCCAATAGGATTTATTTTATGTTCTGTCTTATTTTGTGCTTTATTTCTATGAAGTATAAGATATTCCTAAAATAGACCTTTTATTCCCAGCACATTGTTGGTGCCATATATTTTAATAAGGTACCTTCATCTCTGCTGACAGGCCAGGTCAGTTTTACATTTTTGGGACTTTTGAGAGACTTCCTAACATTATCTTTCTACTTCCTCAGTGTCTAGACAGGACCTTACTTAGGCCTTCTAAAAATGTGTATGAGTTTTATTCCTAAGGATCTCTAGTATCACAGAAAGGTAATATTCTGATAGTCAAACTAGATTTTTTTTAGCTTAAGGAAAAAATTTCTTAGCTCTTTTTGTTTTTGGTAAATTTAAAAAAATTTTACTTTGTGGTTAAAAACAAAATCTCATCAGACTCCCTGAAGGTCTTCCTTTTATGTGCCCATTCGTTGTGTGGTTTCAAAAAAAAAAAAAAAAAAAAAAGTGCATCAAATTCTGTTATTTTTTCCCCCATTTATTTAGCCCTAACCTGGCAGCAGTTGACCAGATGTAATATTTTATGACTCTTATCAAAGAAGTGAAATAAAGCTCCTGGGCATCTTGGTACTAACACACTTGGACTGTCAATCTTTGAATCAGGCTACTCCTCTATGAATATAAATGTTTTACCCCAAAGAAATGATAAATTTAAGCTTTAGGGTATTTATCTCAGTTGTCATCTCTTTAAGGGATTTTTAAATAGCCAATTGTTTACACATCAGTGATGCAACTACAGCAATAGAAAGGATTTTAGAGGAGGCAATCTGGGTTGGATCTTTTCCTGAGTCAAATAATGAGGATTTAAAGGTTGTCATCATTACTAGAGTTTAATGTTGCTGATCTAATGACCTATAAATTATATCATTTAAAAAATACTTCCTTCCACTTGTAAATTCAGAACAGTTTACAAAGAAGATTTACCTGTGCATAAGTTTGGGATAAAAATTGTCTTTTTGAGGTTGGTTTTTCAGACTACGCCTATTCTTAGTTTGAGATGCATTAAAAAATGTGACACATAATTTAGAGTTTTTATGTATTAATCAAATTTCTCACTTTTTTGGTATCCTATATTTAATTCATAGAAAGTATTTAATAATTTCCTGTTTTGAATGTATTAAATCATTTTACAAACTTTTCTTAGGGAAAAGTAGTTCCAGCATTAAAATACTTAAATTGTTCATCATTCTGGTGGAAGTTTTTAGTTCCAGAAAGAATTATGCTTTAAGTCACATTCATATTTGCAGATTATTGTATAATTAAGGGAACATTTTCAATAAGCAGAGATCTAACTTCATATAAATTGATTTTTAGATTAAATTAATTGACTCCTGTGTATACATTTAGCCATAAGTGTTTATAATATAGTCAACACTACTCGGTTTGTGTCCATAACAATTTTAAATTTTCAGGTGTAATATTAAAATGATAAATTTTTAAAAATAGTTTCTATTTTAACTTCTGTAATGAATTATTTGAAAGGCTATATAAAAACACAGATTGTTTTCCACTTGTATCACAGATTGTGACCTTATGGAATTCATTTGAACACAACTTATTTAATTGTAGAACCTGATCTTTTTTTAATCAAATTGTATGAAAATCTATTTAATTTCCTCATCAAATAATAATGGACAAACCATAGTATTAAGTTATAACTACTAATAATAGCATATTACTTATACAAAATCCATCACATAGTATTTACTCCCTTGGTGGAGGCCTTGTGGGAATGAATCACTGAGGAAATGCAAGGTGTGGCTGAGTTCCAACATAATTAGTCAAGGAAAATAGACATGGAAACACCAAGAAACTAATGACTATTGAGTTGTAAGATACCAAATAAAAAGACAGTAGAAGGTAGAGAAAGCATAGGCATTAGTGTGATATGAGATAGTTAAGAAAAATTTTGCAGAGAAGTTATAATTTTACTCAGGCCTAAAAGGATGTGTAAATTTGGTTAAGCTGAAGAGAAAGGCTTTGCACAAGGGGATTAGATGAACTGAGAATTTAGTGGGATGACTACATGGTAATGAGGAGGTGGGTATATTTGGCAATAAATGGTTCATATTGAAGAATAAAATAATATGTTTGAAAGCCAACTTGGAGCTTTTAAAAGAGACACTTTAATATTTACATTAAGATATTCATACATTGTCTTATGTAACACTATAATACTTTTATATCAGGGAAATACTGTATTAAAATTAGACTTATGGAAGAATTAGTCTTGCAGTGGAATGTAAGCTAAAACATGAAAACCCAAGGAACGCTATTGGGATTTTGATTGGAATTGCATTAAATCTATATAGTGCTTTTGGTAGTATGGCAATTCTAATAAAAATCCTAATGACATTCCTCATAGGATTAGAAAAAGAAGTCATGAAATTCATCTGGAAAAATAAGAGACCCAGAATAGCTAAAGCAATCCTTAGCAAGAAGAGTGAAGTAGATGGCATACCAGACCTTAAACTATGCTACAGAACAATAGTAACAAAAACAGTATGGTATTGGCACCAAAATAGACTGGTAGACCAATGGTACAGAATAGAGGACACAGAGACAAACCCACATAACTACAGTTATTTATATTAGACATAGGTGCCAAAAACATACATTGGAGAAAAAATAGCCTCTTCAACAAATGGTGCTGGGAAAACTGGAAATCCATATGCAACAAAATGAAATTAAAACCCTATCTTTCTACCATGCACAAAACTCAAAGTGGATCAAGGACCTAGGAATTAAACCAGAGACACTGTGCCTAAGAGAAGAAAAAATAGGTAGGCCCACATCTCCATCATGTTGGATTAGGCCCCAACTTTCTTAATAAGACTCCTGTAGCACAAAAATTAAAATTAAGAATCAATAAATGGGATGGATTCAAACCAAAAAGTTTCTTCTCAGCAAAAGAAACGATCAGTGGACTGGGGATGTGGCTCAAGCGGTAGCGTGCTCGCCTGGCATGCGTGCGGCCCGGGTTCAATCCTCAGCACCACATACAAACAAAGATGTTGTGTCCGCTGAAAACTGAAAAATAAAAAATATTGAAATTCTCTTTCTCTCTCTCTCTCT